CAGAATCCAAGTCTCACAAAGGAATAAGTTTGTATTACCTTACAGAAATTTCCCTTCTTCCATAAATTCTTATGGGAGGCAAATGTCTTTTTTTTTTTTTTTCTCAAGTGCTTGTAACAGTCTCTCATCTTATAAAACTATTTCATAGAAGTCTCTAAGTACCAAGAGTCTATAGAACTCCTCCAGTTGCTACCACTCGTGTCAATCAGTGGTTTTAAACTGTGACAAAAACGCAACTACTTGAACTCATGTCACAGGTACAAGTAACCGCGTGTGTTGCTCATTCCCCTGGAAAAATTCAGACCCCTGAAGTGGTTGGTAAATTTTCCACCGGATTCAGTTGTTGAAGATCTCACTTTAGCTTCTCTTTTAAGAGCGCTCGGAAGTATTTAGAGTCCAGACATGGGCGCTGTCACAGAGCAGTTAGGTTTTGCTGGCACAGACCCATCAGCAATTCCTGTATAAGAATCACAGCCCTAGTTTTGCTCCTGATGTTCATAGCTTGTTATCTGCAAGATTAAAACTGGGTTGTTCATCGATAAGACTGACCTGAGAAATCCGCATCTGTTGGGCACGCTTACAGAGGGGCATGGGGTGGGGTTTTACTTTCCTCTTTGAATGTCTAATGTCTGTGTGTTTCCTGTTCGTACAGCATCATCCTTGCGCTCTGCTTACAGACAGAGGACTACAGGTGAGCTGTGCTCTTTCAAAACTAGCTGACAACTCAGAATGTGGACTCTGAAAACTCAGCAACCAAGCCTGTCTTTGTTTAAGCTATCTAAAACTAAACTAAATGTAAACTAAACTAAACCTAGCTTACTAGGTAAGCTAGTTTTAAGTAAGCTTACTTACTTTTAAATAAGCTTACCCTAGTATGAAGCTGATGTGTAGGAAAGATCAGTCTAACTCTTGCGTAGTTATAACACGCTGTGTTTGAACTTTATTGTATGGGGGAGGCACGATAAGGAAATAAATTTTTTTTTAAAAGTTAAGTCTTTAGACTAAAAATCTAATGGAAGAAGGAAGGCAGGGCAAGAAAATGGGCTGAAAGAAGACTTCAGTGGCTTTAAATCCAAGTTTGGTGAGCTTATGACTAAATCTCGCTATTGAAGATGCAGGTGGCAATCTATTGAACAGCGAATCCTGATGCTTCCTGCACACAAATAATATGCACAGTCCCCTGGCCCACAGCGATCACTAACGAGTGCCTTCACAGCAGGACTTGGGGTTTGATTAGCAGCTTCTGATTGTTGCAGCCTCCTGGACTACAGCAGGCACGCAGGTGGTGATTTGGTGGCACATGAGAACATTTAGAGATGATTCACCACCACTTCACTAAAAATAAGTGCAGTATTTAAAGCAGGAGGAGAGGTTTAAAATGGTAAGTGCTACAGGTGCAGCTTTTCAGCATACTGGCATTTGCGAATTGAAAATAAAAAGCTCAGTTTGTGACATAAAATTGGGCTATCACAAATGGACGCTTCTTCAGCCGTCCTGTAATAACACATAAACACGCTGATGCACTTACCCTGCACACAATGTGAATTCTATAAGAACAGATACAGGGCTGTATTTATTGGATAAGTTTAAATGCAATATTTCATGTTCAGGGTAAAAGCCATATTCTATGATGTATTGATTCATTTCATGAAGCTGGTTTATTGATTCATTTCACAAAGCTGGTTTTCTTAAAGATAACCATACTTCTCCTTGCATGTTTGTTGATCCCTAAATATGTCTTCTCCATAGAAGAAGACATTCCTTGTTGTTGTACTTTGACCATATAGTAGCAATAGGTCCTCTGACTTCTGGCAACAAAGACATCCTACACCTACATTAACGAATGAAGAGCTCATCTTCTATTTGGTGTCTGTCAATTGCTGTAACTATAAACCCAGTACAAAAATCAAAGCATTTTTAACTTTTAGAGCTGATGTAAAAATTCCCTGCTGTTGTACAAATCAGCTGAAATCGGTTCAGACAGGTCAGTTCATACCACTTGTGATTACTTATTTCATTAGAAATGTGCACATCCAAGGGCAGAGTTGCAAACGTTCAAACCTGACTCATTTTCTATATGTATCACATAGGAAACTCCTATATTTTCAGAAGTGTTTCACTGTGTACTTTTGAAGGCCAAATTATTTCTCTTTCTGTCACTGCTTTCAGCAGCACAAAGTCTGCATTTGCTACAGAAATCCCCGAGCACCCTGTCCTGACTGTGGAGTCCATGCCCTGACATGGCTCCAGGGAATAGGAGCCAATGCACTCTCAGGTTCTCTGTCAGGATGACCTAGACAAAACTCTGGTTTTGTCTAAAGTGGTTTTAAGTCAGGGCGAGCAGTACCAGAGGTAAAAGCAGCTAGTCCGTTCTTCCTTCACTTCTCCACGGTCTACGAAGGTACCACTTACGGTGGCCACAGCTGGGCCACGTTGCTACCTGGCACTGCATTCCCCATGGAGCTAAGAACCTGGGAAATGTTATGGTGCTGCCAGGGGTTGCTGGGCTGGCAAGGCAATTACTTTCAGCCCTGTTCCTCTCTGGAACAATCATGTGGGTGGTTAAGCAAAAAATTTTAGCAAGGATTTTACTAAACTCTGCCCAGCATCAGCTTCCAAAGTTCACTTACTATTTCACTTTGAAATACTAAAGATCACTGGAAGTCATTAAGTAAACGACAGAGTTATTTTTCTCTGTATTTTCCATATATTGTCCTTCCTATCTTTCAGCAGAATGGCTGCAATCTTAACTCATTCTAATAATTCTGAATAAACTATCAGAAATCCTGTTTGGCTGAAGTATATTTCTAGCTATACACTTATACATAACTGAGGACTTAAAAGGAGTTTTGCTTTTCTAAGATTTTTTTTAAACAAATAACTGCTGTTAAGGAGAAAAATACATATAACTTTTTTTCATTCCAGGCATGTACTTAATCTAGGACTGATGAGATGTTCTTCGAAAGACCACCTTTAGTAACCCACGATAAATATTTAATAGAAGTAGCTTCAACATCCTCACAAAAAGTTAGATTTAACAGCCTTTAGAAAAGCTTTTATGGAGATGTTACATTTTGAAATGAGGGTTAATATATAAATACTTATATATTAAAGAGAAAGCTTGTCAAAGACCTAAGATCCATGAGAGAGAAAAAAGAGTTGATAGACCCTAAATTGAAACTGTTCAGGCACAGAAAGAAGAAAATTATACTCTTTGACAGAAAAGGAAAGAAGCCAAGCAAAATTATAAGACGACAAAGTAGAAAAACTGAATGGAATACTTAAGGTGTTTCTTAGAAATAGAACATTCAAGTACTTGTAGCCAGCAGAAACCAACTCTGTAAATTTAAATAGTATTTGCTCAAAGACAAAAAGAAGTGTAAGAAGTTAGCCGTAACAACCCTTAATGTGTGTCACTGAGAGCATCCAAGGATATGTTAAATTACAGAGTAGATGTCCCAAAACAATTCCATGAGACAAACCAGTCTTCTTCAGAAAGGGTGCTGGTGTGAGAGCTCATTTCTCCATGTAATAAATTTGTAGGATCAAAAGGGAAAATGATATACAAGAGGCTGAAGTAGCAGTAAAAAAAGCTACTCTCTCATTGAAATTAGCTCCCGTACTAGGAAATGGCAGGAGACACAGGATTCCTCATCATCTTAACCCACGGGTACCTGCCGCTCTGCGAGGAAGGCCTGCCCACGAGGCTAATGCTCTCGTGCAGCCCCCATGGCTGGGTGGGCACCGCGGTGGCAAAGTCATAAAGAAAGGGAGCATTCGCTCTCCGAAGGCTTCAGGGCCTGCCCTCCAACTCCTCTGCAAAACTGTGTCCTGCTCACCCCCTCTCCCTGCTTAGAGCCTGGGCCTGTGACACAGGTGTGTGTCCCCAGTGTTTCAGAGATGGCAGGTCCAAAAAAATTGCCTCCTTGGTAGATTCTTCATGTGTGTCTTCCTCGGGGGTAACTGTTGGTCTGCATGCGAGGGGAGCCCAAGGAAGAGGCAACAGCTGAGCCTTTATTCGACAGCAGTTGCATCTTAACTGATGTCGTTTTTCCTGGAATAACGTATGTTGAAAGAGATTGTCCCAGAGTAAACCATTATCCAATATTATAAAACTCCAGAAGGCTTCAGTTTGGTGTTAAGGGAAGTGACAAGCACTTGGAGAAGTCATTTAATCATCTAAGCAAAGTTACAAACAGATATGAGTCAAAAGGGTGTGTGGGAGTAAAGATTTAAGCATGAATAATATTTACAGTAACTAAAGATAACATTACTAATGTACCCACAAATAGAAGTATATATTTATATATTTATATATTGTACTTAATTAGATGCTCTATTAACGGAAAGAAAAACAAGACTACTGCTGCTGCTGCTGTTCATTTCTCACCTATCCTATTGTAAATGCCTTCAAAGGGACCAACTGGTGTATGGAAATCCAGAGCTAAATCTCTTTCAGTTAAGTAACTGACAGTGGCAAACCTCTGAAGAAGTTTAGAAGAGGACAGATAAAAACATTAGGACATTAGGGCATGGGACTCAATCTCATGTAATTTGTAAAACAAAATTATACATCTGTTTATTTTCTTTCTCCTTTTTTCTTTCTTTTCTTTTTGATTTCTCCTTGGACAGAGGTTCCACAAAGCCACAAATGAGAAATAACAAAATTTAGATAGTTTTGTTTTCTTCTACAGATTCAAATATAAACTTCAAGTGCAATTCAAAATCCAAATATTATTTATACTACATACTTCTTTCTACAACAGAACTTATCTGCAGGTAGTTTAATCAGATTTGAATAAATTCCTTCTTTGCTTTGACAAAAGTAATTTTTGATGAAAAATAGAAAGCTAGAAAGAATATTTTCTACACAATGTAACTTCAAATGGAAAGTGAAGATATACTAGTGCAGACACAAATTTGGATCTTCAACTAGATGCACTCAGACATGCACATTTTTTTTGTAGTAAAAATCCCATTCAGAACATTGGCTTTTAACGATTATAAAACATTATAGGCATTCTTCAATATACAATTGAAAACAAAGACTGCAAAAAAGAGCCTTCAAATTAGCAAATGTTTCTACTATGGAGGAAAGACAATATTTGACAGCAATGCAAAGTAACCAAAAATTGAATACCACTAGACTATTTGTACGGTCGTAGAAATCTGGAAACTTTTGATCGCAGTAGTTTTATAAATGATCTTGGAAACATCTCTTTTGACTCTTGTGCTGTGTACTTGAAATAGTTTTGTGGGTGTGCCAGTACATCAAAAAGGGCTTTGATCAGTTTCTTGTCCTATGGGAGACAACATATATATTAGATAAAAACAGAGTTTGTGTTTGTCTGCATAGCTTTTAAAATTAATGAACTGCAATCAGTTGTGGGGTTTTTTTTTGGGAAAACTTGATTCTGAGTAAAGCAGTGTAAGGAAACTTCTCCATGTTGCTATGGAGTCTTATATGGATGCATCTTTCTATTGTGCTGGATGTTTTTTTTCAATTAGCATTCCTGGAAGGTCCTGAACTGGGAGGGCAGCAGCTGGTTTAACCACAAACTGGTTGCAGAAGTTAAGCATTAGAATTGCTGCCTCTGACTGCCCTTCCAGCTGGTTTCATGCTGTTGTCCAGGCCCTTCCCTTCACGAATAAAAGCGAAGGCTGGTCTTCAGTGATGCTGAGCTCTTTAAAGACTCTCTCCTGCAGCTTGGTAAAGTCTTGACTCAGCTTCAGCTAGCTGAGCCCGTGTCTGCCCACACAGAGTTAAGTCCTGAGTGACCTCAAAGCTCGAGTAAGCGATGGCCAGAGTTGCTGGCTGTTAATCAGTTCCTGTCCTCCCAAGCCATACATTTACACAGCTGAATTTTGTCTTCTGAACAGCCTTTTTTTCAGCTTTCATTAGTTAGTTGTAACAGATGGCAGCCCAGGAGCCTTCCTCTACAATTCCCTCCAATGTGCTGCTTATGCCTTCAGAAAACCATTTCATGGGCAGCTTACAATGCTACATTATGGTTGTGTTTTGTTGAGGCAGGACACTGATTTATGTAAATAAATTTTTTAATGCACAGGGAATTCTAACCTAATGACTTATTTAAACACACATCAGACTGAAGCTGAAGAGGTCTCTTCAAACAATAGGCTCTTCATTGTTAGTTGACTGATTTTTCTAACATACAATCACGTTAGCGTACGTTTCATTTAGTTCCTGACTCAGCAAAGGATGTACGCACATGCTCAGCCCAGCTGAGCTACTGATTTGGTGCTGCTCCAAATACCAGCATAAACCTCAGAAGGCAGAAGATTTAATTTGAGGTCACACTTGAGATTTAAATACTACCACCCTATCAGAGTAATGAGAACTACCTTGGGAAAATATTTAGTAAAAGGAATCCTTGGTTAGCCTCAGATAAAGCAGAATTTTCTTACCTTTAGAATTTCTTGATGATTTTCTGATGCATATAATCGTCCATCTCGAACAATGTCTTCTATTAGTTGTTGGTAATCCTCTGAAAAATAAAAGATGAGTTGAGTGACTGTTTGTGACATTCTCTGGGAGGATAACAGCCAGATATTAGCTAGACCCCCTCTTCAAGACAGAGCTGAGAAAGTTATTATCCAGTTAATTATTCAGTGTCTCTCAAGCTGCTGTACTCTAATCATATTAAAATTCTGTACTGCTTTAGAACAGTAATTTTGAATTATCTTTATAAATACAAACTTAGCCCCAGCAAACTACGCTCTCCAGATAATAATGCTTTATCATCTGCTTTCTAGAGAGAAAAAACAGGACCAGGGATATGAAGTAACTGTCAAAGGTTATACGTGAAGTCAGCAGCACACTGAGGAACAGATTCTCATTGAATGCCCTGAGAACAGCTCTCATTTCAATTCCTGAATGACTGACTAGTTTAATGCAGGTTTTCTTACAATTCACAAAATTGCACTCATGTGTGGAAAAGAGATAGAGTAACAGCTGCCAAAGGTATCACAGAAAAGTCTTCTGAAACAGAAATCATCCCCAGGTCCAAAATATACAGTTTAATGCATAATTTATATGACAAGCCAGACTGTTTTAAAATACGGATATATGAAAGTGGTTACTGAAAAGATTTTTTTTTTTTGCATCATAGTTTTTCTCTGTTGAACTTGTGATTTTATTAATGTATATTTTCAAAATCGTGTAGGTTACCAGTAGGACTTCATAAAGGAGCTTCCTGAAATGAACAGCAATTACCAGTATTCTTATTATGCGTATGATAAACACTGATCAAAATAAGTCTCACTGAACTCAGTGGGATACAGACGAAGTTTAAAGAATTCTGTGCAACTTGCTGTCCATCCATAAAAGCATTATAAAAAGTAATAAAAATAAAATTAAGTATCCTTTCAAAGGCTTTGTAGCTGGCTTCTAAAGTAATTCACTGGTCTAAAAATAAGTTACATCAAGTCTTCCCTCAATCTTCTCTCCCTGTAATCAGTGTAAGAGGTTCTAAAGGGAAATTTTCTGTAATTCAGATATAGCACAAAGATGAAAAACAATCCCGTTCTCACCATCGTAAGTCACATAGGGGACCTGAAATCCTTTGCCACTGTTCCCTTCATTTGACTTGAACTGTATCCAGAGCTTCCTTGATCTTGAGGTAAATGCAATAGGTCTCTCGTAAGTCTGACATGTTTCATATGTAGTAATTGAAGTAGGAGAAGCTAAAAAGAAGATTAAGTGATGTTCTTTATAAAATAATTTTTGCTCCCTTCCTGATCTAGAGGTCATAAATGTTGAACTAACAAGACCCTTCTCAGCTGACGTATTCCTGAGAGCAGAAGTTCTTTTGTGATAGAGAAACGATGTAGTCTTTATCTGTCTGTAAGGAGAAGAAAGTTTTTCCACAAACGTATGGGAACCCCTCTGTCCTACAGCATGAAGCTTAAGCAGACAGTGAGGTGCCAGAGATAATTTTTGATGTTTATAAAATTACTATCAATATTACCTATCTTTTGTACTACTCTAGCACTGAATTCCAGAGTCCCAGATAGGTAAGAACAAGTCAGCTGCACCCCAGGCAGATGTAATGAGCTTTTATCTGATAGCAATAAACCAGTTACCACAATGTAAAAGCCTGATGTAGTGATTCCGACCAGACGACCATCACACCCTGAGCAGTTAGCGATCCGCTGAACAGCTAACCTGAGTACGGCCAGGCCTGTGCTGCGAGTCCAGCGTAGTCTTTGGGCCTGTGTTGTGCTGCACAAATCGCACAGCTGCAGGAGAACCTTGGCCTGCTCCTTAAAATGAGAGGAACTTGCAGGCAGCTCCTGTGTGGCCGCAGTGTTTGTGCTATTGTGTGGCCTTGCCTTTGTCCAAAAGTGCTCATGAGAATATTGTTTCTGTTTGACAGTAGAAATGACAAATAGAGTTGCTTCCTTGCAAGAAAATCCTATAATAGCTCAAATGACTGAATGGGTGAAATTTTCCTATGGACAGGGTCTGCTCCGCTGTGTGTGGAGGTCATAGGCGTGTTCGATGCTATGCTGCCCATGGCTCCCACCATGTAAAGGGAGGTAAGATTATCTATGCTACTCTCTCCACATAAGGAGAGCTCTAATGAATAGCATTATCAACGATACCTTAGAGACTCTCAGTGCCTTTCTTACCTATCATGAGGCTCATCTAAGTTGAAATGAATTTCAACCAAAAGGAAGAAATCGCTTCTTACCTAGTTCAAGAAAACCACTCCATAGCCATAATCAGGGAAAAAACCCCAAGTGTAAGCTTAAACATGAACTTGCTAGGGCTGAATCCAATTTTCACCAATGTTATTGAAAAAAGACCTTTTGAATTGAATGCAATGTGTATTCTTGAAGTGCAAAAAAGTAGATCTAACTGTAACTCTGGAATTACCATCAGTTTTTCCACAGTAATGTTAACAACAACACTGTTGTTGATTTGGCTTTGTTACTGGTGGAGGTCGAACTGGATGTGCCTGGCTTTACTTACTGTTGGAACCAGTTTGGGATTGGAAAGACACCTGCTTTGTTTTGCTACAGTACGTGCTTTGCTTTTAAAAAATGTATCTGGACAGATATAATTTCCTTCCAGCTACAGTGAGCAAGTTTCTTCTTCTGATATATAGAGAAGCTCTCAAGGATAGAAAGTTGTGAAAATTGTTACAGCAAATGAAATACACTGTTTTAGCAAGTAAAATACACTGTTTCAAACAAAGGTGGAGCGCAGCTCATTTGTGTCTTAACTTCAGAAGTTGTTGAATTAATTTCATAACCAGAGACACAATGCAGCCCTCACTCCACATAGAACTGGCAAAACTTTGGATTTCTTGAGGATGTCAGGTATAGCAACCGATGTCACTGCATAGATTTAGCAATAACTGCAGTGTATATATCCTTGCAAAGGGTAAGTGAGAGCAGTTTGTACAGATGACAGGAGACAGCTCTCCCAATATAACCTAGCATAGTTTTGTTGACTTTGAGAGCTGCAGTGATTTATCCCATAGGGTCAATGGGGCATCCAGAAGCCCATTAACTGCTCTGTGATTCTGCAAAGATATTTGAATAATTAATATCACTCTGTTAATTGTTATTAGTACTGTGTTCTGTTTTAATTTGCTGTGCCAGTTCATTCAACAATCCTGTTAGAAACATCAGACAGATGAAGACAGTGTCCCTTCAATACGAACTTTCGACTCAGTCAGTTTGCAATAAATATTTTTATAACCCATGTCTGGCAACTTACCACTTTTTCTCATTACTAAAACATCACCGCATTCATCTTCAATTGGGAGAAATATCTCAGGTACGACAATGAGTATTCTCCTCTTCGGGGGTGGGTTTATATTCCAAACGCATTCAACATTAGCTGGGTAGTCTCCAGGATAGTTGGGCGATTCAATGTAGCCAGTATAGTCCCCAAGTTCTCCTCCACAGTGCTGGTCTGTGAAGAAACATAAATGAGCATTTGTGTTAGCTGATTAGCTAATTTGAGGTGTTTTTCTAGATCTGTCAACAGCAAGTCTACACTCCTCCTTGTGGCTTTAGAAATGCAGGCATTCTCCAGCTGCCTCTTTGTTTAGCATGGAAAGCCTTTAAAGGAATATCTCGTCAGCAGGGCTGCTCCACCTGATTTGCAAAACCTTCAATTCCAGTGGATAAACTGACTCAATAACGTCTTATTCCACCTGCTTTAGTGTTTGATTAGAAATTAACACAGTTAAGTAAACACGATCCCATTGTGGAGGTACTCACATGGTGGTTACCACTGAGACCATGCTGACGTGCAGAAAGCATTCTGGTTTAACTTCACTGGGGTTTTAACTCTATTTAGGTGAATGAATGTGATGATCCTAACAGCCAGCCTTACCTTGATTACAGATCTGCCTTGCTTTACTGTGGATCAAACCAGTTAATAAAGGATCCCCACTGGTGGGTCAGTTTTACTTTCTTAGCTTTCAGAACTTCTACTAAATTTGCCACATAAGTTTGATTCTGTAAGTTACTTAAGCTTGATCTCTCCAGGCATACTCATCCACATTAAACTAGATAACATTTAAATATTTTGCTTAATCCAAGCCTCAAAGATTATGCAAGGTCAAAAAATGGCTTGAAAACAGGGAGTATCTAAGACAGTGAAGTAACAAGGATGCTTTTATTTTATAGCAAAATTGTCAAATTTCTTCAAATTCCTTACAACTATCTAATTTACTCAAATTACATTAGAAATGATGAAGCACTTCGAAGACACACGGCACATAATAAACTCAACATAGACTTGCACATGAATAGCTAGTTTAGATGACATTAGCTAATTATTATAGAGATGTTCTTTTAAATTAGCCCCAAAAAAGATGAAAAAAAAATGCTTGCCTGAAAGAATCAGCCATTCACCAAAAGATCAAATAAGATTCCATTGGAATCCTTGGGTATATTTAAAATCGTAATTGAAGATAGGAGGCGGAGTCCTGCAAAAACCCTCTGAGAAGCTTTCACTGCCATGAGTGATTACCTGGCAAATGCAGTTATGAATGACCCTATCTCCTAATATTTTATAATTACTATAAAACGGCAGGTACTCTGATAGAAGATACTGGGGTTTACAGAGTTATGGTGGAATGTGCATCACTGCAAGACAGTTAAGTCTTGCAGGATCTGGGAAATCAAAAGCTCTGTAGTTTTAACTTGTAGCCAGATTACATTAAAGCTAAACTGATCATATGCATCAGGTAGTTACTTTTCCAGTTTTGTTTTGTGGTTTTTTCTCATTGTTTTCCCAGTTTTTACTACTCCCTCTGGCAGTAGATACATGCTAACTAGCAGAATTGAAGTTCAGCCTGATAGATGAAACATTTAAGCTGCAGTTCAGATCTCAAGACATACTTCATCTCACAACTAATATAAATGCAACTTACTTTTGCAGTGTGTAACGTTAGTGGAGCCATCAAAATCTGTACTTGTGTTCCCAGGGCAGGTGATGCAGTAGTTTTGGCCAAACTCAGGCTGGTATGTTCCCACAGGGCATCGGATACACCTGTGAGTTGTGGAGTTGTAGTAGTGTCCAGGAGAACAATGAACTGTAAGGTATGAGGTGTATTATTTTCAGAAAGCAGCAATCTTCAATGCAGAGTGAATTTTCCTCTAGCCGGGACATACCTCATGATCCCCGTTCTGCAATACGCTTATATTTTGCCATAAGAGGCAAAAAAGACACTAGCTCCCTGTACATGACAAAGGACCTGTTAACTTGATTTATGTTCCAAAGACTAGAGCTAAACCCTTACAAACTAGTAACACGTGCTACATACATCTCTCACTGTATTTAATGAAGTGGTTTCCAATGAGTTTGTAATAAATGAAAGCTGAAACAGATCTGCCTCAAAAATGAAAATGCCTTTCACAACAGCAGCAGAGAGGCTTCCATCAGTGTCTGTTTGCAAGGGCCAGCAGGTCATTCCACTAACTAAACCAAAATGCATTTGGGGCAGATTCCTTCTTCAGCGTTTGCCCTGGCAGTTGACAGTATGGAACATGCAGCCTGTTGCATGCTTACAGCTTCTGTCTTGCCCATCAGTAAGTAATTCTTAACTTTGCATAATTTCTGTAGTGTTCATTTTTTCTAATTTGCTAAATAAAGATATTCAGGATGTGAAGGCTAAAGCATTGTGTAATGCAAGTTTGTCTTATTTCTTGCCATGCAGGATGGCTGATTCACTTACCAGTTGCAGTGCTGACTCTGCACCTGCCTGTGGTAAATTCCAGAGAAAACCATGAAGCCTATTCAGTCTCTGCAACCTCAGGAGATCATTCCTAGTTTACTGATTTCCTGACCATTTAATTTAATCACACCCCCTATTTCTTTATGCAGTGACTGTATTTGTTTTGGAGCCTTTCAAAGCCCCTCAGCATTGAAGCTCACAAATAAACCGGTAAGCAAGTGGAAAGATTTTAAATTCACCTTTGGTTTCACAGTCTTGAAAGGAAACAGCACCTTCATACTTGGTCACAAGCCCACCACCACATGAAAAGCAGAGGGTCCTTCCTGGTTCGGGCTGGTATGTACCAAGAGGGCAGACTCTACAGGGTTTGAAACCATCTGAAGAATACTGCCCAGGAGAACATTGCCCTAGAAATTGAAAATTATCATCTGTGTTAGTGAGCCAACTTTTCTGGACAAAGTATAAAACTTGTTAGGAATTAGCAATGCTTCTTTTAAGTTAAACACGTGACATCAAGACAGCTCAAGATCAAATTCTCATCTTACCCGTGCATTTTGTATTGTTCCTGTAACTGCCTCCTAAAACCAGCACCAGTAAATACAACTAGTTTTGTAATAAGCTCTTTTCTACCTATGTTTCTGTTTGGTTTTTGTTTGTTTTAGCAAGGACTCTATTATGAAATTGTTACAATACTTTGTACTTTTCACCAAGTCTTCAAGAATTCCAAAGAACTTCATAGGAAAAAATGAAACTTTGCACCACATCTATGAAGCAAGTAATTTTATGCCTTCATTTTATTGGTAGAGAAACAGTAGATCATGGGAGTTACCAGACTGGAAGGGAGCAGCCCAGCACCCTGTCTGTGAGAATAGCTGACACCAGCAGCTCTCCAAGTAGCTGTGAAAACTAGTGCTTGTCAGAAGCTCCTCTGCCACGAGATGGTGACTTGTGTAAAGCAAAGCACTTTGTGAAGGAATCTACTGACTGATAGAAGGTGGTTTCCAAAATTGCTCGCCAGGTAGTTTCTGATACACGCTTATTTGGCTTGGTACTTGCTAGCTTGAGTACTTAACTCCCTGACAACCTACCTGAGAATCATGATGTCAGGTTTTTCAGGATTATGACATAAAGGCGTTACACCACCCCAGCCTGGGAGACCAGCACTTTAAGATATTAGATATTCCCTGGAAGAGGTTGCCTAAACCCAGTACTTTGTAATTTAGCTTGCCCTAGAACTGAACAGCAGGCAGAAACAACTGGCTTGAAAACCTGAAAGTTTAGAGAGCTCCAGTTGGGATTTCTTAAGAAGCCTGATACTTGCTGGGAAAAGTTGGAGGCCTCCAGCATCTTAGATACTCAGGAAGAACTTAGGTGCTCAGGAAGAACTAGAGATTCTAAACAAAAGCAAAGTTCAAACTCCTATGGATAGAATCTCTCATTCCAAGCAGCCAGAATATGACTGTACAAGCTGGCTGTTGCGACACAGACCTCTGAGAAATATCATGACATTACTAATTTGAAGACAATTGTGCTATTTGTTTTGTAGTAAAACTGATCCACCTGGTCTGGTCCAATTGGTCACTGGACAGGCAGTTAACATGAGGTCAGGCAATGAAGAGTGTTTTGGATTGGATTTTAGTGTGAAAAATAAGTACTTGTAAAGTGTGGCTTACAGACACCCTTTTAAAGAATCAGTAACAGCTGGGTTTTAATACTGCTAAACACCCAATGCTTTCAGTACTCAGCACTAATATGTCTTGTTCCTTACTTGTACCTAAGAATGAACTAACTTGCTCCCTTCTTGCCTTCTGTTTTGAAATTGCCAACAAAATCGATCAGAGGTGATTTCCCTGAGGAACACCTCAAATGACTAGGTTTCCAACAGATATTATGGAGGCATATTGATTTTGATAAAATTTTTGACAGAGTGTTTTATCAAGTCCAAAGCATATTTTCTCTTGCCACTTTCAGAGAAAGACAAAAGGGGACAGTTAAGCAGAAAAACAAGACTGTTGTGATCTGACAACAAACATTTTGAGACAGATTCATTCTGCAAAAAT